TTCTTGGTTTGGTTGGTTTTGTTTTACGGCATATCAACCTCAATGGGTTATGTAATGCCGACAAAATTTTTATTGCTGGTAATATTTCGTTTTGTCAAAAATCTATTTCTGGTAATATTTTTCCTTCAAAAATGTATTGCTGGTAATAATATTTTTTTTTTCGAAAGTTTATTGCTGGTAATAATATTTTTTCAAAGTATTTCTGGTATTAAAACCTATTTTTACACTTTCATAGTGTTTTAAACCCCAGTTTCATAATTTTGCTGATAATAATTTTTCCTTCAAAAATTATTGCTGGTAATAATTTTTTTTATTACAAAGTATTTCTGGTATTAAAACCTATTTTTACAAAAGTTTGGGTGTTAACTATTTGCCCATAGCTGGGATCCTAACAGGTGCTACCACCCCAAGTCAGGGTGGATCTGGGAACACTAGCAATTAAGAGGTGGTTCCACACTCCTCAAAACCTCCTGATCAGAGGCTTTGCTGCTAGACGTAATTTATTGTCTTACCCAGGATGCGGATGTAGTTTATCATCATACCCAGGTCGCAAATATGTATTGTTGGTAATTTTACTATAAGTATAGATTTTTGGTTCATTGATTTTGTTTAGTTGCACATCAACCTCTATGGGTTCTTTAATACTGAAATCTAAATATTTTTCTAGTGAGATGTAGATTAACGAATTGATATATCCAGAATACCCAGGCTATATGATGTAATGAATATGCATACACCTGGGTACCCCCTCACAGTAATATGATTGGCTGGTGTCAGCCATAAATACAGACTGATGTGGAGGTACATGTACTATGCCTATTGCCTACCACTACAGACGAGGACCAGTCCATTACAGTTACCTGCTAGATTGTCAACAACCACTTTGCTACTTAGAACAAATATATCCCTTTCCGGGGACATATCACTATATAATGACTCAGATTAGGAAGCAGAGGCACTACGCATGACTCTTGAACAGTAACACAAAAGGCATAAGACTTCATAACAATTTTGAACATAATTTTATTTTTTTCGAGATAAAGGTATGATTTTTTAAATATATATTTTGGAGATCATAAAATCTGTTGTTGCTTATTTTATAAAAAATGTACTGTTGATTTTTGTTTTCGGCGGGGGGGGGTGGCACTATTTGCCCATAGCTAGGACCCTAACAGGTGTTACCGCCCCAGGTCAGGGTGGACCTGAGAACAACAGCAATTAAGAGGTGGTTCCACAATCCTCAAAACCTCTAATCTTCCAATCAAAGGCTTTGTTGCCAGATGCAGTTTATTGTAATATGTTGAAATTTTGTTGTGCATCAAAGTCATGATACAGACACTGCTCCTGGTTAAACTAAATGCAGTGAACAATATTTTGCACATGTGAATGACGAGTGTAAGGAAATGGAAGAACATTTCAACATGGTGATATTTTATATATTTTATGCATCCTATATCCTCTGATAATATTCCTTTCCTTTCCTTTTGAACAGGAGCAAAGGTTGATCTCCCATTTTCTGTTTAGGATTGGATTTCTGGTTCGTTCCCCTAAAGTTTTCTCATTCTCTTTCACACAAAGTGACCCTCTTGCATCTTCATGGCATTATTGCTTTGCTTAAGGTGAAATGATAAAAAAGAAAAAAAAGGGAGAAAATACACATGTATAATTGTAAAAAAAAGAAAACATTAAAAGTTAAGAATTATGTGGGTAAATATACATGTGCGTGTGTGTGTGTAAAAATTCAGTCACTAAAAGGGAAAATATCTCCATGCCGAGGAACAAGGTTCTGGTGGTGTTGTCATAAAAGCATGCTGAGAGAAGACAGGAAGTGTCCCATTATTATATACTTGAGAGTGTCTTCTAATGTTTTCTTGGCAAAATCAGCAAAGGTATTTGGAATTAAGCCACAATTATATATATATATATATATATATATATATATATATATATAACATGATATAATATGATAGACATGAACATCTGAGGATAGATAGATAGAAGGATATGAACAGGCTATAGACAGATAGATAAATATGAACAGGCTATAGATAGATAAATAACTAGATAGATAGATAGATATGAACAGGCTATAGATAGATAGACATGAACAGGCTATAGATCGATAGATAGATAAATATGAACAGGTGATAGATAGATAGATTTATAGATAGATAGATATGAACAGGTGATTGATAGATAGATATGAACAGGCAATCGATAGATATGTACAGGTGATAGATAGATATGAACAGGCGATAGATAGATAGATAGATAGATAGATAGATAGATAGATAGATGTCAACAGGCTAAGTATACATCTGTTATACAGAGTTATAATTACTGTTGCTCATCAGGGATTTAAAACAAATATTTTTCATATGTTTCTGACTTTCTGTTTTCACCTGTAAAAATGCTACTCTTTTGTACCAACTAAAAGTTCCGTCTGGAACAGTAATACCAGCGGGAGTTGTGCTGTGGAGGAAAAATATTTGCAGAAATAATAATAATAAATATTCTGTACCCAATAAAAACTGTACCAGGGGTGAGGAATTGAAGGAAACAATTTAATTGTACCAATACTTGTCTCAGGTACACAACAATATGGCCTATGAGTGTAATAAAAACAAAAAGATGTTTTTCCAAATTATTTTTTTTGGTGCCAAATATTTAATCATTGGAAGTGAATACGTATTTGTTTTTACAAGTTGTGTACCAATTATGTTTTATCAATTTTCACCTCTCTACAAGCTGCAAATGCTATTTGAGTTTATAGTTTTTCCATAAAGCAGTTCACTCTACCTTGTAGCTTGTCTGTATGTTTTGTTTCATTATCTGTTGTTTTAAATTTGTTTCTTTCAATGAATACCAACTTCTTTCTTTTCTTTCTCAAGTTGTCTAAATATAAATATCACAATGTCAAAATATTCATAATTTAAAAAACATAATGTATAATATGCAACTTCAGACAAACTTTCATATATATATATATATATATATATATATATACAGTGTTACATTAGAACATGCACATACCCACTACAAAACTATATCTTGTTTCAACATTTAAAAAAAATTTTTAACATTTCATTAGGTGGGAAATAACGTAGCATTGTAATTTCCAACGTGATGTGACATTAAAAAAAATTTTAACGTTAAAACGAGATATACAGTTTTGTAGTGGGTATGTGCATGTTCTAATGTAACACTGCATAATAAATAAATATATATACAGCTCTACTTTTGTATTGATCCCTGTTTTAAATTAATGTTTTGAATGCTGAACTGTTACTCTTAGTTCTTTTACACTTTTTTTTTTTTATAAGCGTTACACTCCAAGCAAGGCGGGAAGCCACTAGGACGCAAGGGGTTACAGAAAATTTAGAACAAGATCAGATAGGAGTGATAGAAGAAAGGATGAGGAGAAGGGTAGTGCATAGATCAAGGCAACTGGAGATGTCGATTGACATTACACTTGAATAGCTGGAGATTATAGCTCTCAAGGAAACTAGAATAGGGAAGGGAGTTCCACAGGCGTGAGGTGCATGAAGCTATTGGTGTAGAAGAGATGGCTACATTTAGGAGTTTTGACAGTGAAGGGGTGAGAGCGGGATGCCAGCCTCGTAGGGCGCTTGAACTCATGAAGTCTGGGAACCAGCGAATGCAGCTCACTTGGAGATATATATATAGTCATCCACAGACAGACTGTTTCACTGTAGAACAGCTCCTCAGTGTGGCTAGACATCCGATTACTTCAAGCCAGGACCAATTTGGTTTCAGTCGAAGATTCTAAACCCTAGGCTATTGATGCTAAGCAGAGAGAAAGGCAAATTTATGCATACTTATTTTTTCATAAACACGCCAGTGACCTAGAAGACTCAATCCGTTAGGAGAGTTTTGCATTATTTGCAGTAATAGGCAATGTTTACAAATTCACTCTTCTCCCCACATTGACCAAATTAATTTATTTTCAGGAGCTCATATCATCATCCACAGACAGACAATTTCCCTGTAGTAGTACTCATACATATATATATATATATATATATATATATATATATATATATATATATACATTGAGGTAATTTTTTTTTTGCTGTAAAAAATACATATGCTCTGGTAAAATAAAAACATTGAGCTCTCTGTGAATCAGTTTTAATAATTAATATTACTAGGATCCACCAATGGATCGATTACCTGAATATCTATCTATCTATTTATCTATCTATCTATATTTAAAAAATCTTTTTTATATATATTTTATATATATATATATATTTTCTTGAAGATGTATTTTTTTAAAAAAAGTTTTTTTAACATATTATTCTATATCTGTCTATATTTCTGAGATGAGGTATTATGTACACTATTTATATTATTTGGACTATTGTCCTCATCTTTGTCACCATATTTATCACAACGTTTCAGCCTTTCAGTATCTGTCTATATTTCTGAGATGAGGTATTATGTACACTATTTACATTATTTGGACTATTGTCCTCATCTTTGTCGCCATATTTATCACAACGTTTCGGTCTTTCAGTATCTGTCTATATTTCTGAGATGAGGTATTATGTACACTATTTACATTATTTGGACTATTGTCCTCATCTTTGTTGCCATATTTATTGCAACGTTTCTGTTGGAAAGGGGAATTAACAGGAGATAACTGATAAATGACATCCATTAGACATGTCACATGGCACTAGAACAGTCTACCCCAGTGAGCGAAATAAAGGGTTAAGTTCAACATTCCAACCACCTGAAGAAGGCCGGAGCGTTCAACAGCCGAAATGTTGTAATAAATATGGTGACAAAGATGAGGACAATAGTCCAAATAATGTAAATAGTGTAAATTATTCTATTTTTAAGAAAATTGTTTTTAATTCTTAATCTAGATTCTTTATTACTATTTTATTTTCATAATCACCTAAGCTTTTTTTGAAATTACACTGGGTCTGATTGATGATTTAAAATAACTAAATGAATTGAACCGAAAACTTATGAATATATTCCTTCTTGTAAATTTTATTCTCTGTTGCTTGTCATGTTCAAATCACCTCTTCTTTTTGCTTTTCGTTCACATTCATTTTTCTTTAACTTTTTTCTATTTCATTCTCTTTCATTTATCTTTCTCTTTCTTGTTCTTTCTCTTCATTTTTTCTTTCTCTTTCTTTCTCTTCCTATTTTTCTTTCATTTTTCTTTCTCTTCATTTTTCTTTCTCTTTCATTTTTTTTTCTTTTTCTTTTTTTTCATTTTTATTTCTCTTTTTCTTTCATTTTTCTTTCTCTTCATTTTTATTTCTCTTTCATGTTTCTTTCATTTTTCTTTCTCTTTCTTTCTCTTTCTCTCTCATTTTTCTTTCTCTTTCATTTTTCTTTCTTTTTTCTTTTTCTTTTTTCATTCTCTTTCCTTTTTCTTTCTCTTTCTCTCTCATTTTTCTTTCTCTTTCATTTTTCTTTCTTTTTTCTTTTTCTTTTTTCATTCTCTTTCCTTTTTCTTTCTCTTTCTCTTTCATTTTTCTTTTTCTTTCTCTTTCTCTTTTTCTTTCATTTTTCTTTCTCTTACATTTTTCATTTTTCTTTCTCTTTCATTTTTCTTTCTCTTTTTCTTTCTCTTTCATTTTTCTTTCTCTTTATTTTTCTCTTTTTTTTTCTGTTTCATTTTTCTTTCTCTTTCATTTTTCTTTCTGTTTCATTTTTCTTTTTTCTTTCTCTTTCATTTTTCATTCTCTTTTTTTTCTCTTTTTCATTCGCTTTCATTTTTCTTTAATTTTTCTTTCTATTTCTTTTTCTTTCTCTTTCATTTTATTTCTTTTTCTTTCTCTTTCATTTTTCTTTTTTCTCTTTTTCTTTCTCTTTCATTTTTCTTTCTCTTTTTCTTTCTCCTTCTTTTTCTTTCTTTCGCATTTTTCTTTCTCTTTCATTTTTCCCTTTTTCTTTTTCTTTCTTTTTCATTTTTCTTTCTTTTCTTTTTCATTTTTCTTTCTCTTTTTCTTTCTCTTTCTTTTTTCTATGTCTTTTCCTTTCTCTTTCTTTCTCTCTCATTTTTCTTTCTCTTTTTCTTTCTCTTTCATTTCTCTTTTTCTTTCATTTTTCTTTCTTTTTTTCTCTTTCTCTCTTTCTTTCTCTTTTTCTTTCTCTTTCTTTTTCTTTCTCTCTCATTTTTCTTTCTCTTTCATTTTTCTTTTTCTTTCTCTTTCATTTTTTCCTCTTTTTCTTTCTCTTTTTCTTTTTTTCATTTTTCTTTCTTTTCTTTTTCATTTTTCTTTCTCTTTTTCTTTCTCTTTCATTTTTCCTTTTCTTTCTTTTTCATTTTTCTTTCTTTTTCATTTTTCTTTCTCTTTTTCTTTCTTTTTCATTTTTCTTTCTCTTTTTCTTTCTCTTTCATTTCTCTTTCTTTTTCTTTCTTTCTATGTTCCTTCTTGGATATATTCTCTTTATTTTATTTGTCACATCTGGGGATCCGGGGAGGGGGAAGAGGTCAACTAATCTGCATTTTCTCCACAACTGTTTCCCTTTCTTACTCCCCCTCCTCTATCTCTAATATATATCTTCCTCTCTTTCTCTCTCTTTCTCTTCCCTGTATTTTAAGACCCATCTTCTGTTTGATAATTGTTTTTTTTCGCTTATGCCTGAATAAATTTAAAATTCATTTATTGCTGTAAAATTGTTTAGTTTGATGAGACAAGATCAATTATTTGATCTTGTGAAATAAATTATTACCATGGATTTCTAAAGTCTCCACTTTCATCATTTGCTTCGTTCTTACATTGAACCCTCTATGGATTTAAATGCTCTTTGAAATTATCCCTACTAATTATCAAATAATATTATATGCTTCTTGGTTTAATTATCAGGAACTACGTGACTTAGAACATTGTGATAAAAAGTTACAATAAGGCAAAGAGAAATAGTTAAAATTAATAAAACTAATAAAACATGCTTAGGCAATCATTTCAATACATGACTGACAGGGCAGATTTTTTCCCACAGTAGGTTGCTAATTCTTTCTGCAGTAGACTAGTTGCTATCCAAGGCTACAGAACCCCGTCTGTCCTGCTATTTACTCATAGCTGGGTGGAGGGAGAAGATTCATACATTTCCCAAGGGTATTAGCATTTAAGTGTATGTAATGGATTTAACAGGAATTAGAACCTGGCTCTCTGATTCCTCAATCTGAGCCACTATCCATTACTCCACCGTGATTGATGGAGTCCTAAAGGGTGAAACGCGTCACACAAAAACTTTTTCAACTTTGCCATTCGTCTTTACCCTTTAATTACTAACGAAAACAAATTTCCAGTTAAAGGTTATTGAAATAAGATTGATTTTCTAAGAATGTTTATTATTATATTCACTTAAATGCATATGTCCTTGGGAAAGGTACAAATCCACCTCTTCTTCCCCCACCTATGAGTTAATTAGTAGGACTTGTATTAGTAAATCATTATTATCTCAAAAAAATTCTGACAATCTAAAAATATTTCCTGGCTTTAAATAACCTGCAAATGGTTGATAATCCATAAAAAATAAATCAATCACAGGCATTTCTTCTGACAGCTTAAAATGGAACAAAATTGTTACAACTCAAACACAATGTGAAGAGAAAAATTTTAAACACTTGCAAATATTTTTATTTATCACATATATCTATATCTATAATTCTCAAAATGTGTGTATGTATGTATGTTCATGTGATCTGATGTTGTTTATGCATTTCCACAGTTTTCATCTGATTTTGATTAAATTTTTTTGTTTGATAGATAATTCTTCAGTGCCAGTTTTGAGTCCAAATTGTTGGCAACAATGGCTCTCCACTACTTCCTGTCCATTATAACTCTCAGCAACATTTTACTATTTACTATCTTTTCTTGGATATATATCTTTCATAAAAACTTTAATAAAATAGTTTAAATTATCAAAATAATATTATTTATTATTAAACAGGTCCCTTTTCAAGCCCCCCCAAATTGTTAAACCCCAAAACACAATCCCCCCCACAATAACCAATAATGTAATGATATTCCGCAGACAAATCTACAGTTTATGTTACCTCATCTCATTGCATGATTACAAATTATAAACCTAAATTGAGATTGAAATATTGTGAAATCGGAACTAATTTTTTGTAAAATGCTTGGAGATGATATAATGAATAATTTGCAGTGAAAAAAGTAATTTTTGATGTTTTGTTGAATACACCTCTCCTCCACTGAACACATCATATATGGCTATGTAATTGTGTTGGATTAGGGTTTATTTCCTATAACCTTGCTGCCAATTTAGTACTGCACTTAAATTCAAAGAGAATCAAAGAGAAAAGCTCATCAAAACAATTACCATGAAATTATTTATAGGAAAGGCAAAAAGAAGCCATGTTATGGCAGTGACAAAGTGACTGAAGCTGAGATGCCAGGTCAGGGCCAATAACATTGCATATTCTTTGGATTTTATCAAGAATCTCTAAATATATAACCAGAGAACTAGATCAGATGTGACAGCAATATTCATGCATGAATGAATAGTAGACTTATAAATTTGCAAGATAGAACCAACTTTCTTAGCAGCAGGCTTATCAATTGATTCAATATAATCTTTCTACTTCATGTCAGCGGAAGATGTTAGCCTGAGAAAGTACAAAGAGTATATATATATATATTCTAAAAGACAGACAAGTTCAGACCTCTACTCGAGTTTCACTCTTCCAGAATGCATTTGGAATGTCTGATGATCGCAGTAACATGAAACTCAAGTAGTGATCAGAACTTTGTCTCTTTTTGAGTGGCGTTGATGGGTAGCGCATTTGCTCCTTCTCGTTCACTTAGACATAGAGCACTTTTGTTTACTGTTTAAGTAAGTGTCTGTCTTTCATTATTTTTTCTTCTCGGTTTATGTTTTTAGTTTTGATTTATTTGTTTCACTTTTGATTTTGATTTTCTTTGATCCTTTGGAAGGCTTTGTGTAGGTTTTACTTTTAGTAATAATTTAGTTTGTTGTATTTATAGTTTAATGTAGAGATCCACACAATTACTTATTTCTGGAAATTAGCCACTTCCATCAGCATTCACCATAATTGCCAATATGTGCTCTGACCCCACCTATTTTAGTGCAATGAATTTGTGTTGTTTGGGTGATAGTTCCCTAGGAGAAAAACTTCCATATGTTATTGTTTACTGGAAAAATAAAATAAATCTGTTCATAATCAGTAAATCTAACAAAAAAGAATACTAAGGAAATATTTTTTAATATTATATCCTAAATCATGGATTAAAAATATTAGAAAATTAGAAAAACGTACAATGTTTTGAAAAAACATCTATTCATTTCGCCAATTAGGCTTCATCAGATCGAAGGCAAAAAATGAATTGCGTGTATATGTATTTGTGTGTGTTTAAAATAATGAAATCTTATATTTTTCCCAAGTTGGTGTTGCTTGTGACCAAAAAAGTCACTCATTTTCTTTCTCTTTTTAGTCCCGAACAACACCAGCTTGGGAAAAATATAAGATTTCATTATTTTATTAAACAAACACAAATATATACACAAGCAACTCATTTTTTTTGCCTTCGATCTGATGAAGCCTAATCGGCGAAATGCATAGTCGAATGTTTTTTCGAAACATTATATCTTCATGAACGTTTTTCCAATTGTCAATAATTTAGAACATCTTTCTGGATCATATACACACATTTATAACATAGTAATACAAATAAGTACAGAAATAGAAAATAGAATCATTTTGAGTTACCCCCGAGAATTTTCCAAGGGAAGTAACTCGATAAAATACTTTTGCTTATAGTCTCCCTTGTGTAAGTCTTTAGGCAAGCGTTACTTATTTTTTTGATGGAGTTTATATTTAATTTATATTTAATTATAAATTTATAATATATGTTACAGAATGCGAAGGCCAGGGTCAGAATGGTCAGCGATTGATCGGAGTGACTCATAGGCAGGGCACCCTGACAGTGGTGCATTTTCTTTGTCTAGGTTTTAGAATATTCGCGCCGTAAAACGTCGCGAATTCAAGAGCGGAGCGGGTCTCTAATTCTGATGCGTCGATATACCTCGCAAGCCCAGGTTTTCGACCAACTAATTAATATCACCCGGAGAGGGACGCTGAGCCAACGTGCGATATGCATTCTTGTCACGTCAATCCTACTACTGCCTCTTAGAATCCAAGTTTCCAGGTTTAATAAAACGAATACCAAAAGTAAATGACCCTTTTCGTTGATACCGTTTTTAGCGTAGGAATCCAGAGACGACACAGAACACAACATGTAATTAATTCAGTCATTACCGACCTCATAAATATCCCGAATGAAGCCTCTTCGATTCCACACAGTGCCATGCAATCTATGTCTGACTATGAAAAATCTAGCCAGTGCCATCAGGTTTCCAATAATTCGAGAAGCAACCACTTCGGCCAACAGTAACCTGTTGTTAACCATTCTTGTGCAATGAATGAGCAGCCATCAATCAAAATGTAGGCGGACCGCTGCCAGTATGTAAGTCATCGACTGACGATACGCGAGGAGTTTCGGGTTTTGTTGGTTATATATGGAAATTTCCGAAACTACTAATCGATGAATACAAGTACTTTGAGAATATAAATTTAATAACTAAGTTTAATTTAAATATTTTTCTACGCTTCTGAATGTATTTCTCGATGGCGAAACAGGGCTCTTGGTTTATCAAATCGAGACCACAAATGTCGCTGATCACAAAAGCAAGGTGGATTCTAATTGGGACAGTCTCATCTGGGCGATTATGTAAAGGGGCACAAATGACATCCAACCAAAAAAGTTTATCCATAGTTTAATGAAAATGAAACCGTAGATACCAGTTTAATTTTTTTTTTTAATGTAAGTGAATGGATAATCGGTTATTTTTCTGACTTTTTCATAAAACCGCGGACAATTCATAACAGTTGTTTACTTTTAAGTTTCAAGTTTAAGGAACACTAAAATCATATTACTGTTTATTTATTTATCTTGATTGCGGTAGGATGATTAGATTGGTGTCAAACCCCAATGGATTTACGTTAGCGAAGCTAGTCTTATTCACATAAAATCTTGTTCAGACATAATTAAAATTAATAAATTAAAGATAATAATGAGTTTTTACTGTTTCTCTCAAGGGAAGCTACTCTGAAAAAAAGTTTTGTTTATAGTCTCCCTTGTGAAAACGAATTATTCCATTATAAATATACGCCTACTGGCAATTTTTCTCATTTTGTAAATCATATGAAACATGTTTAATTCTAACTTAATACTTGCTTCTTTAATGATCACATTTAGAAAGCAGACGAGAAGTAATTCAAGATTTAAGTGAAGATTGAGATGAATATTTAAGCATATTATTCAGTCAGTTATGTACCAGGCGTGATATACGCTTCTTCTTAATAGGCGATCATGACTTCTTAGTTCGATACATGACTGACGAGACAAATTTTTCCCGCAGTAGGTTGCCATTTCTTTCTATGGTAGACCAGTTGTCATCCAAGGCTATAGAACCCGGTATATTTATCCATAGCTGGGGGCGGGGGTTGGGAGAAGAGGTTTCATACCTTTCCCAACGTTATTAGCACGTAAGTGAATGTAATAGATTCGACTGGAATTTGAACTCGGCACTCCGATTCCTCAATCCGAGTCGCTATGCATTACTATCCATCAAATCATATTACCTTCTCTTAACAGAACACTATCTCTGGCTATATCTCATCCTTCACTCTCCTCTCTCTTTCTTCTCTCTCTCTCTCTCTTCTCTCTCTTCTCTCTCTCCTCTCTCTCTCTCTTTTCTCTCTCTCTTTCTGGTCATATACTCCTGCCAAATTAGCTATCGTCCGGTTCATGCTCCTCTCCTCTCTTTTGAACAGGACTAGAGATTTTATCATCTTTTGAACGGGATCAATTCGGGATATTTATCTCTAAGACACCCAGCCCCGAAGATTCTACTTTACGGCTCACCCTCTTCTTATTATTATCCTTATGTTACATCCTAACACCGTGGGGAGATCGCTATGGTTAGTATCAGCAAGATTGAATTTAAAAGAAACGAAGGTTAGTCATCCAATGTTAAGCACCAACAAACACAGCTGAGAATCAAGGAGTCTTTTACAGATTCCTGCAATTCCTGTTTGATCGAGCATCAAGGAACACCTTAGAATCTTAAAAAAAAACAGAGCATTTACATAAATAAATTGTGCCTATTAAAATAACCCATAAACCAAATATATATATATATATATATATCTTAGAGTAAAGTCTCTGACTGATGCTAAATTTTTTACTATATATATATGTGTGTGATAGAAATTAGGAGGATTTGAGATGATTATAATTAAGTAATTCATGGAGTCTAGAAGAAACCTCAACAGAGACAGAAAGCACCGGACGGCCATTTCGTCCTATATTTGGGACTCATCAGCAAATGCGCATCCACTCCCGAGAATTGAAAGTTACGCAATTACGATATGAGGCAAACGTCATACCAACTGTACCAACAAGCCTCGGTGACGAAGATGTAACGAATTAGACTCGATATAGCGCCGCTCGATCACATATTCCGTGGAGGAACTCATCCGAGTTTCTCTTTTAACCATAGGACTGTGCCCCCACGAACCACGACTACTATCCCCAAGCCGCTCCATCTTTAGAAGCCGCTTCATGCAAGGATATACGAGTGAGAGAAATTAGAAAGATTTGAGATAATTATAATTAATTCATCGAGTCTAGAAGAACCACATACAAGCCTGTTTTCACTCTATCACAGCTCATCAGTGTGGATAGACATTCGATTGCTTCAAGCCAGGATCGAAACTCGACCGATTTAGCATCAGTCAGAGACTATATATATATATATATATATATATATATATATATATATAAATATATATATATATATATTAAAAAGAGAACACATGGGTTAATGTTAAGTATATTATAAAGAACATTCGAGGAAAAGATAGCGTGTATATTTCATTTAAAATCGCTGAAATTAAAACGCTTGCAGTTTATCTGCTTGACAAATAGATTTAGAACGATCTCTGATGAATTTGAATCAAATAAATCATAACTTAAGTTCTCCAAGCTCGGGCAAAGGAATACGGTTTGGCGTGGAGTAAGCAACTTCACTCCAGAAAAACTTACCTGGCACTGAAACAGCATTAACGTAGTAATCATCCTAAAAGGGGGATCATGATGCACGCCTGGGGAAACTCGAGGGAAAATATTGTTTTTTGTGGGGATGGGAGCATTCCCCAATGCGCTTAAAGTCGGAAGGTAAATTGAACAATTTTCAACACTATATACTCAGTGTACACATGTGATGATCCTACCATTGGGGAGGAGGTTTAAACAGTTCTTAATGACAAAGGCAAAAAGGAAAAAGAAAACGTAAAAACATGGAAGGTCAAAACCCTATTTGAGAGCGAGAAATAACAAAGGCAGAAAAGAAAAATATGACGTCACACCCCACCCTCAGTCACCGGGCAACTCCTTACGGCTAGCCTTGGAGTTTGTTACCTCTATCCTCAATCTCACTCTGCCCCACGTTGTGTTTGTTTTAGATCACAGGGCGGGCGAAGGCCGAATCGTATACTCAATGTCACTGATCCAGTAGCTTTGACGCAATGATAACGCAAGGAAAAAAAGTAAGAGACAACTGTGTAACATAAGAACTTTATATCAAAGGTTTAAACAATGAACGTTCTACTCACTAAATCAACAACATGCAGATTTCCAGCACCCTTAAAATTGTCAGTAAAACCAGACAAGAAATATTTATATTCAATAGGTTGAGAGAATATGCAGTAAAAGAATTTTCCAAGACATCTTCGTAATTTTGGGTGCTTCGTATTTTTGTAGCAAGTTGCGGGGGGGTTATGTCATGAACTACAAACAGGAGTCAACATTTTTGCCAAGAAAAAAGAAAAGAATCCTTCAAATAAACGAACTAACCAATCGATTTTGTTCTCTGTAATTTTGTACAGTAAATTGTCCAACTTTTAGCAATTCGAAATAATTCACTTCGAGTCACAGAAAATTGTTCTCGTCACTATTGTTTTTCTTTTTCGTGGGGGGTATATATAAATAATCTCCAAGAGGATAGAATCCAGGTAGAACTCGATGTTCAGGACAGAGTAAGAATATAATAAAAAAGGCTCAAACACAAATGTTCCATGGTTACAATTTATTACATTGGAATCGTAATCACGATCCAATTCATCAGACCTACAAATTCAAAAAGAAATCGGAAAATATCGATTTCTTTTTTAATTTGTAGGTCTGATGAATTGGATCTTGATTACGATTCCAATGTAATATAATCATGGAATATTAGTATTTGAGACTTTATACACACACACACGAACATAATCTGTTCCGGAACTGAGCACTTCGACCTCGTGTAATGGTTAGCAAGCTTGTCTCGCTCAATCGGTTACGACTGAGTAGGGAGTGCCATCCTCACCGGGTGCTCCTTAATTTCGGCCTTGTGCCACATCTAAGCTGCGCTTAGTAAATCCTTAATTGCAAGCCTAATCCGAACTTCATATGAAAAGGAAAATGCACAAAAATTCATGCGTAAAAGATACAATGCTTGATACATTTTCGAAACAAGAAAATCGGCAATGTCACTTTTTGGGCCGTTGCATAAATTATCGATTCACTTTTCACTATCATCGGCATTTTTTTTTTTTAATTCGTCTATATTTTTGAGGATGGTGCAGATTGTAGATTTTACCATTTCATACTCGGCGCTAAATTTGCTAACACTTGTTCTTCCATGTTTAGAAATTATTGATTTTATCACTCGCTTCTATCGATCTGTGGTCAAGTTTTTCATACAATATTAGGAAAAGTTTTTTCAATATAAAAGATGAAAAATTTGCAAGCTAAATTAAAGAATTTAAATACAACATCAATCGCCATCTTCTGTCTTCCTGAAACTTGTTCTTTTTATTGTCCTTTCTCCTCACTAAAAAAGTCTTCTCATTCACTTGATCTCGGTAATCCCCGGCCTCTTAATTCGCATTATCGAACTTTCTTGGGTTGGAATAATTAAAAATAAAATAAAATAAAATAAAATAAACAGCTTGTGATATGAATCTAGAGTACAATTTGGAAACCGAGGACTCTCCCAGGCACAAATGCGTTGTCTAGTCACGGTTCGTTGTTAGAAGAAAATTAAATCAGTCAGAGACTATACACACACACACACACACACACACACACACACACATACATATATATATATATATATATATATATATATATATATATATTAAATTAAAATAGGATGACGAGAACACATGTTAAGTATATTATAAAGAACATTCGAGGAAAAGATAGCGTGTATATATCGAACTTTCTTGGGTTGGAATAATTAAAAAAAAAAAATAAATAAATAAACAGCTTGTGATATGAATCTAGAGTACAATTTGGAAACCGAGGACTCTCCCAGGCACAAATACGTTGTCTAGTCACGGTTCGTTGTTAGAAGAAAATTAAACCCGTCAAACGATTAGTAAATGAATTTCTTCTTAAGGAAAACCCTTCGCTATTCAGTTTGTTCATTTATATTGGTACCCGACTAATAAATAAAAATGTCCTGGATCTCTAATCATAACTTTATTGCGGACTAGCAGTAGAGCCCGGCGTTACCCGGGGATGTAACAGTAAAAGATAGATCAAGTATCGACCATCATAAAGACTGAAAAATAAAATTGACAAAGATTATTGTTTAAGGTTGACGGACACGCATGTCTTAATTAGTTTTTTTTTTTTTTGGTTTTTGGCTTTTTTTACGAATTGGTCAAACCCAACCTCAAACAAAACGTTGTTTTCAATCGTTATGAGTCTATCGATTGAATAGAATTTTATTATAAACAATTGTCTTGTAAATGTAATTCTTAAAGCATTCTGAATGTAAAAATAAAGAAAAAAGTGAAGTTTTGTTGAAATCGGTTGAAAAATGTAAGAAATCAGATGCCATATATAAACGAACACACACACACAAACAACTATAACTCGATATGAGTTGTCCCTCTTTCATTCTCGTGACAGCGATGCCTGTTAATCGTGTTTTCAAATTGTTTTCGTGCAAAAACAATTTTGTTTTTCCAATTTTTGGTGCTGTCAGAACCACCGTAAGGTAATTTTACGTAGTCCTGTGAAGTTTTGTTGAAATCGGTTGAAAAATGTAGGAAATCCGATCCAATATATAAACGTACACACACACACACACACACACACACACACACACACACAATCTGCATTTTATAATAAGTAAGATTATCCATAAAAATATTTTTTTTTAAACTACAAAAGTGGAACCGCAAAGTTTTTGAAAACATTTTTCTTCACTTTTCAGAATATTAAAATGTCCCTACCTTTTTTTTTTTTTTTGTAATTACAAAAATTACCACAAAAACTAAAGTTTAAAAAAGTTTGTAGGTATGTTCAATACTTCGCTAAAAAAAAGAGCATACCCTGATGAAAAAAGGCCCCAAACTGGATTAAACATTTTTTTTATCGTCTTATGTTTGTTATTATTAAGAGGAAAGACCAAAGTATTTTTTGAATATTTTTTTTTTAATTTTTAATACTTTCTAGTACGTTGGAAATTTTTGTCAAAAATCTCTTTTTTTTTTTTCTTTGAGTCATCAAAATTGACAAAAAAAACAAAAATTAAGGATAACGAACCAATAACGCAATTTATGAATATTAAACTTTATGCACACCAGTACTCTTTAGGACGGTAGTAACCGATTTTTTTTTTAGTCATCAGTGACTATTTATTATTCAATTATTAAAGATTTAATTTTTTTGCTTCTGTGAATTTCTTTTTAGCTATTCGTTTGTGAAATCTGTCAACCATTCT